AAAAGTCAAAACTGGACGAATAATCCGGGACGGAGGGAGTATATTTTTATTTTTCTTCTAAGATTTTTTAATTTTTATATTTTTGTATAAATGTAATAGGAAATTTGGCTGAACAAATTGTGGCATCTTTACATAAGAAGTATCCATCTGAGCTGCGAAATGCAGTTAACAATTTTCTTCAGGTTTAATTGGCTTTGACGGCCCCACTTGTATACCACTTCTTATTGTCTATCATTCTTTACGTTCTTTTTATATACCTCTTAATACATACCAAAATGCAGTCCAAGAAAGAGGGATCCAATCATGAAATGCTAAGTCGGATGCTAGATGGGAATAAGGATTTCTCACAAACACTACTTTATTCAAAACTGTGGTTTTCCTTGGAGCATCCTAAGGTACTAATATTCCTCTCACTTTCTAGAGAAATGTGTGAAGACCACCACCTTCAATGAATGGGATGAAGTATTAATTGTTTCTTGTATGATTTGATTTTGTTCTGAAAATAATGCATTTGCATGAAGAAAATAAATCAAGAAAAGAATCAAGAATGCAAGAATGATGACAATAGTCCGCCTTGGATCCACAATACATAGCAATCATGTATAATAATAATAGCTACTCCCTCCATCTGTCATGGATCTTCTCAAGTTAACTTTTTGTGATTCTTAAGGAGAGTTGAAAAAAGTGAAAGTTTACTAAGATACCCTTAATAAAAGTGGGTGAAGTATATTAAATGAGGTGAGTGAGGTGTGATAAATAAAGTGGGGGTAGTTGTGGTATTTTAAATGTTAAAAAAAGTAATAGGAAGATGTATGGGGGCGGAGGGAATATAATATTAGTAATAATAATAATAATAATAATAATACTACGGAGTAGTAGTAATAATAATAATAATAATAATAATAATAATAATAATAATAATAATAATAATAATAATTGGAGAAGCTTTTTGAACTTCATCACACAAATACAATGTCTTGGCATAGGGGAAGGGGTAGACCTAGGAAGAATTGGAAGGAGGTGATTAGACAGGACCTAAGGCCTGTGACCCTTACCAAGGATATGGCCATAGATATGAACTGTTGGACAGCTAGGATTAGGGTAGGTGGGTGGTAGTTTTCTCACTTGTTGTGTGTTTCCTTGTGTGCTTTCTGCTTTCCGTTCTTTTCTGTCGTTATTTTTAGTTTTTGCATTTTTTGTGTTCCTTTCTTTCTCTGCTTTATGTGCCTACAGTGAGTGCTTGAGATGGGGTAAGGTCTGTGTACACACACACTCCCCAGACCCTACTTTTGTGGGATTCAACAGGGTTGTTGTTTTTGTTGCACAATGTCTTGGCATACACTATATGTTTGCCAATATAGTGACTAGTAAAGGCAGTTTAATCAGAACCGTAGTGGCGTAGTGTCTCTAGCTGTCTTGCATTGAATGGGTGTATGCTATGGTGGGAATGTTGGATTTGTAATTGATAATCAGAGGTTTTCTTAATTACACATAATTACATATTAAAAGTGACTATATATATACATAAGACGGGTGCTAATTTAAGGAACCAATGCCCTGTGTATGTATGAATGTTGCCATATCGCACTCGCCATATAGTCACCTAGGCTAGAGCCTAATCGATTAGGTGATGTGAAGGTACATTTGGTGCCTCGCCTCATTGCTTTAACAACTATAACTTAGGAGTAGATACAAATAAATCCAATGGATATGATGATATGTGATTAGAGGAACTTCATTTTTTGGAATACAGGCAGAGATTCGCCGTTCTGCTATTTTGGGGTTGGATGTGCCAAGTTTGTTAAAGGAAAAGGCTGCTAGTTCTCTGGTAATATTTTGTTTGCCACCATGTTTCAAGTGGTTGTTTTATTGTTCCATTGTGATCTTCATGAGGCAGAATTTATTATTATTGTCTCTTATTTATAGGGCCTATTTGGTTGTGTTTTGGAAATTCTAGTGTTTTTGTGCATCCATAAACATACTATTATTAATTGTTTTGACCAGTTTAATATAAGTTTTACCCAAAGAACACTATTTTTTGTCTCGTTCTACAAAAGCCTTTCCACATTTGTTAAAGATGATATTTAAGGTAAGTATAATTTGGGTGTTACTTTCCCATTTTACCCTTGCTTTATGGAAGGGTAGATAAATGTGATGGGTAGGGTAATAATGAATAGGTAAGATGAGATAAGTAGGTTAGTAATTAATAGGGACAAATAGGTGATTTTAATTGAAAGGATTTTTTTATGGGACGGATGAAAATGGAAAGAAGATTTTTTTTTGGAACAGAGGGAGTATGTTTTTAGTTTGAAAGAAAGAACCTACGGAGTGCTTCCCATAAAAACTACTTTGGATAAAACCACTTGTGGAGCTGCAACTACATGACCATATATAATTCCTAGCAAATGTTGTGGAGCATCGCATGTGGCATGTGGGTTTCTAAAACATTTTTTCTTGTAATCCAGAGATTTGGTACTATTCAAGATGCATTATCAAATAGGCTTTATGATGATGACCTAAGTGTTGTTAAAGCAGTTTTAAATGTGGAGGCACTAGCTGAACTAGTAAATCCTTCATTTCTTCAAGATGCACTTCAGAATGTGCTTCAAAGATGCATTGGAACTTTGGGATCGAGTGAGTATGATGTTTGATGAAGTTGCAATTATTGTTCTGTTGTCATAGAAATCATCTATATAGACATATGCTTTCTGCTAATATTTTATTTGCATATAGGTTCAGTGCATGAGTCCTCTTTAGCAGTTGATGTTGCTGTGGGCTGTCTTCAGCATTCTGTGTCAAGTTGCCAAGGGATTGGGTTTTCTGCTAAGAAATTTGCAGCATTAGTTTTCCCATTGATCTTGATTTTTCCGAAGGTTTTAAAATGAGCTTTAATGACTAATTTTATAATTGATTGAAGACCTCATATCTTGCTTACCACTACATATATTTTATTTTCCTTTTTTGTAGACACATGAATTGAATGCAAAGGCTTTGGGAATGGCCAGGGAAATAAATTGGCCTTTGTATACCAAGCTTGCATGTGTGTCAGAGCATAAGAAGGTTATGAGTTGTTGAAACATTTATCTTTCATTCATATATGTATGTAAGGAAACATTTGCTACCTTTTTTCCTTGAAGATAATGAATTTAATGTTAAAAAAATGTAGATATTGGATGCTAGCTCTATATCCTCGGTAAATGCAGAAAATGTCCACACATTGGCAACAACTCTCTTAATGCATCTTGAAGAGTATCTTCCTTGGATGGTAGAATGCTGCAATGCATCGGAGCAATCAACAACACTGTTCTTATTGGTTTTATTGGACCTACTCACGTTGCCAGAAATAGGTACTTGCACATTGGTTTAAGTGCATCATGTTTTTTACTGCCTCATATTGCATTGCCTTTTTTTATTTAAGGGTTCTTTTATACAGAAAGAAAATATTTACTAAGTTGGTTAGCATATCATGTTAAATGGCTCATGGTGCATCTATAGTGTGATCTCATGTGCCACTGTGTTTAAGCAGGATCTTCTGGCTAGTATGATCCCTGACCTATACGTATACTCCCTCCGTTGCATAAAAAGGTTGACTGAAGTTATTTTCAAATGATTTTTTTAGAAAATTGGCACAAAAGTTAAAATTAAAAATTATATATTTTAAAACTACATCAAATGTTCTATAAATCAAGAGGTGACATGACTATTTTATTTTGTCAAATAATCAATGGAAACCTGTGATGAAAGAAGATGGAGTTTGACCATGTGAATAGGAATGTGGAACCTTTTTTTGGGATTGAGGGAGTATATGTGTGATACATTTCATCGGTATTTTGTTCATACAAAAAGGAAAAGTAGTCATTCTTCATCTCTAGTTGTCAGCTAACATTTTGAATTAATGTTTTGCTTATAAACCCTTGTCTTCTGTTCCCTTTATAATTTGGGTTTTTTCTTTATAAGTTTGGTAATATGGATTGTAGGTTATGGGAATACCTTAAAGTATTAAGATCAGATTTCATGTTTATATTCTGGAGTTATATGTATATCCTTTTCCCAGCATCCTTTCATTTTGTTTGTTTGTTTCAGGGGACCAGAGTTTGACGTTGTTCAATATTTGCTTTCCAATATTAAAAACTCAATGGGAAATGCTCAAGTCGTCAGGGAATGTTACATCTGCAAGTCCGGTAAGAAAGTTCTTATTTGACACTGTTTCCAATGCAACTTTTGACGTTCATCCTGGGTCGTCCAGAAACAGTTGCTCTATGTTTTGAGCATATGGATCAGGCTGCGTACGTGATTACCTGTGGTGCTTGAGCCAGGTGTCTCTTTGGAAACAGCCTCTCTACTTTCGAGTAGGGATAAGGTCTACGAACACACACCCTCCCCACACCCTACTTTTGTGGGATTCAACTGGGTTGTTGTTGTATTGTTTTTGACACTGTTTCCAATCATACACACAGGCACACAAGCTTAAACAATTTTCCAAACCTGTTGAGTTAATTACGCTTGTTCTCAATTTTACATTATCTTCAGTTTAACGTGGACACGGATGGAGGCCACAAAAGGTTCCTGGAACGCATGGATGTCACTAAAATAAAAGAATTAAATGCAGAGATTCTTGTCTCTGTGTTTTGGAGATTACTTGAGACTTTTATTTCGAATGCACCAGAAGATGTATTATTGGTTGGTGCAACTTCCATTTTCCCTTGTTAGACCTCTGTATATTTTTCATTTTCTCTTTTTATCCGTATATTTTGATCTGTAGATATTCAGGTGAAAATTGTCGCTCTTACCTATTAATCTATGTGTGTCTTTATCTTCTGCTATCAGGACAAGAATGAGAAGTGGGTTTGCTCTCTTCAGGACCTGCATGTCTTTTTCATGTCCCAATCAAAACATACATTCAAGAGGCATCATGATTACCTTGTTACAAACTGCAAGATTTCTCCATCTCGCTATCTCTCTAAATTCTTCACTGAAGAAGGTTTTAACTTCATCTTCCTCAAATGCTTACCCAGCATATTCTTTCTTATTTCGTAGAAACTTTGGTTTTAAGTGTTGATAATGTTCCGGGCTTCTGGCATTCTTGGGTGTAGTTGTTTCCCCAACAGGCCCAAAAAAAAGAAATGAAAAAACAAACCCCATTAGAATCCCAACTCTGTTAGGTGGTCAAGATATATGTATTTTTACCACTCTAATGAACGTAGAATTCTTAGGTTTGACCTTTTTATTAAAACACAAAATGTTTAGGTTAGACCTTTTGTTAAAACACAAAATTTTTAGGTTAGACCTTTGATGCATTGCCTGCATTCACTCCCCTAAACTTTATAGAAAGAAATAATTACTTGAAGTTTTATGTCATTTTTATTTAGTCCATTATTTACCCGAAGCTAAAGCGTTGTCAATAGTGACCCTTTTAGTTGAGTTGGCAATGAATTAAGGATATACTGGTTTGCATGGTTCAAAATTAAACAAAAAAGAGAACTTTTTGTGTTCGAAATAACATACTCCCTCCGTCCCTTACGAGGAAAAATTTCTTATTTTTTGAAATCATTTTATTTACAAATCGGTATATCAATAAGAAATAAAAATTACATATTAAAAAATTTCGTCAAAAGTTCTACAAAACGAGAGGTAACAAAATATTTTATTTTATCAAATACTTAATGAACTCGGCAACTCGTGCAAATAAACAAAAGTTATCGAGAGGAAAGAGGAAAAAATTGTAATCAAAATGGGGATGGAGGGAGTATTTGTTTGGTAAATGACATAACAGTTTTAGAAAGTTATATGCACAAAACATCACGTTGGCTGCATTTTTCCTTCTAGCAGGAAAATCTCTAAACTACTTGTTTTTCCCTTGAATAAGAAGAGCATGTTTCTAAAGATGACATGTTACGCTGCAAAAGAATAACTTAGGGTTTTTTTTGGTTTGGTATTCTTTACATATTGCCAATGGCCGATTTCTTCCTTCAATACCCTGTGTTTTATTGAAAGCAAGGCCTTCATTAGTTTGCCCTTTGCCTCATGCCGCTCTGTGCTTAACGCGTCTTCTATGGTCTTATATTATCTTAAATGATATCTGTGCTGCTTGAGCCAGGTGTCTCTTGTAAACAGCCTCTCTACTTTTGAGTAGGGGCAAGGTCTGCGTACCCCCCCCCCCCAAGACCATACTCTGGGGGATTCAACTGGGTTGTTGTTGTTGTCTTCCTAACAATATTTACTTGTTTGTTTGTTTAATTAAAAATTTATATGGTTTTTATCCCAGGTCATTCAGCAGAGCTACACATTGAGAGTCTTCATTCTTTTTCATATCTTTGTTCTCAAACGGAGGACAGCCTTGCATTTCAACTCTTTGCTGAGTTTCCTTCAGTTCTTGTTCCATTATCAAATGATAACCAGGTTTGATTTCATATATTTATTCACTATAATTAGGTTAAAGTTTTCAAGGAATATACACATCTTTACAAATTTATCTTAAAGGTTTTGACACACACTTTGATCTTTTTTTAGAATCATAATTCAGTGCTAGTATGCTCTCAGTTCTAATATGTTTATCTTCTGTGGCCAGTGTGTGCGGATGGCAGCCATG